TTATATTATATTATATTATATTATATTATATTATATTATATTATATTATATTATATTATTATAATTGCTTACCGACCCAATCACTCCACAGAGGACGCCATATCCTCTGTACTCCATCTGAGTCTGGCGCATCTGGAAGAGAAGAACACTCATGTGCGAATGCTGTTTGTGGATTATAGTTCTGCGTTTAACACGATTATCCCCCAGCATTAAGTAAGCAAACATGGACCTTTGGGCCTTGGTACCCCCTTGTGTAACTGGATACTGGATTTTCTTACAAACAGACCTCAGTTTTTGAGGGTTGGAAATTACACCTCCAGTGTCATTTCTCTGAGCACTGGTTCCCCTCAGGGCTGCGTCCTGAGTCCATTATTGTTCACTATGATGATGACACATGACTGCCGTGCCAGGTTCAGTACAAACCAGGTTGTGAAGTATGCAGACGATACGACAGTGGTGGGCCTCATTCAGGATGACAACAAACAGGCAGGGAGGAGGTGAGATTGCTTGTGGACTGTTGCAATACAAACAACTTGCTCCTGAATGTAGATAAAACAAAGGAGATCATTGTTGACTTCAGAAAAGAGCAGCACAGGCACACACAACTACTTATCAATGACACCGCAGTGGAAGTTGTCAATAGCATCAAGTTCCTGAGGGTGCAGATCACAGACAGCTTGACATGGTCTCTTAACACTGCCTCTCTAGTGAAGAGAGCACATCAGCATCTTTATTTTCTGCGTCGGATGAGAAAAGCACACCTTTCCTCTCCCATCCTCTGCACTGTCTGCAAAGGTATTATAGAGAGCATATTGACCAGCTGCATCTCGGTCTGGTCTGGGGACTGTAAAGCGGAGAGTGGTGAGGACAGCGGAAAAGATAATCGGCTCTTCGCTGCCTTCCATCCAGGACCTTGAACACAAACGCTGTCTGGCCCGTGCCCACAATATTTTAAAAGACTCCACCCATCCTCACTATGGACTGTTTATGCTGCTGCCCTCTGGGAAAAGGTTTCGCAGCATTCGGGGCAGAACAGTAAGGTTCTGCAATAGCTTTTATCCACAAGCTATCAGACGTTTGAACTCAAAAGAACTTTTTATTGATCAATCTTACTGTCAATGGATCTCGTTCAATGGAACGAGATGGGGATACTGCAATAATTGTATCTATTTATGATTTATTTATTTAAATAATTGTACTTATACGTGGCCACTTAAGTGCAATAATTTGTTACAGATGCTGCTAATAATCATGTGTATTTATTAATTATTTATATGCTGCTGTTAATTATTTTTAGTTTTATATTCTTAATGCATGTTGGAGCATTTTTCATTAGATTTTATATTATTATATTTTTAATACTGATTTTGTACAGTAGTACATGTTTTAGTTTTAGTGTAGTTTTCTTTATGAGCCAGTGAAACTAAATCTCGTTCATATGTGCATCCCACATGTACAGTTGAATGACAATAAAGCTACCTACCTATATTATATTATATTATATTATATTATATCATTTAAAATAGCATTCTTAAAGTATGTTTTTATTCACCAATCACTTCGCTGGTGTAAATGGAAGTCTCTGGAGGAAAGCAGCAGCAGCAGCAGTACCAACCATCACCATCCGCTACAATGGCGCTGCATCCCTGACTGGAGCTCTTGTGTTCTGGGTGGGGCTTTACCAGTGGGGCATTTCCTCCAGTGTCGGGTTTCTCCAGCGCACTGGCGTTTAAATCTGCTGCAGTGGGAAGCCCGTGGACGTCTGTCACCGTGAGTGAATCTGCTCTATTGGAGGATCTGGCGCTCGTTTTCTCTTCTCTTTCATAATAGCAATTGTATCTCTTGCATTTGCTGAGTGATACATTGTAGCCTCTAGCGACGCGCGCTTTTATTCCAACAAAGCCTGAATGAAAGGCTGCCTGTTTGGCCATGTTTTCGACCGTAACATTTAAACAGAATATTATATAATGCATCATATTTTGTAATTATGGTCTAATCTTTCGCGCATTTTGTGTCGTGAGTGGCCTATAGAGACAAGGGAACAGTTTCAATGGACTCTTAAAATACATCGACGTCATTACAAATCCATTCATTTGAATACACTGCAGTAGGACTAAGGCGCATTTGTGCATATTGTGAAATAATTATCCGAAAACAACAGATATATCGTCTAAGGTTGCCTATACTCGAGTTGCATCATGTTCAGCTGGTTGGGTACCGATGACAGGAGAAAGAAAGATCCAGAGGTCTTCCAGACTGTCAGTGAAGGACTCAAGAAGCTTTACAAAACCAAACTGCTTCCACTGGAGGAACACTACAAATTCCACGAGTTTCACTCACCCGCTTTGGAGGATGCAGATTTTGACAATAAGCCCATGGTTCTCCTGGTGGGACAGTATTCCACTGGCAAAACCAGCTTCATAAGGTAAGATGTTAGTTTTGGCTCCTGTGAAACAGTTGCTGGTGTCCTGAGCCCTATAAAGACACCAGTCAGGAAACTTTAGAATCTAGCACTTCATAATATTTTTTATGAATAAGTCATACATGCACAAGCATTATATAATGCATTGCATGACTTGTATGTAGTGAATATATAATATACTTTATAATATTTGTCACTTCTGATTATTTTAATGTACGTTAAATGATGTTTTATGTAGTAGTTGATGTAATGTTATAGTGTCATTCATGATAATATATTATAATAATATTATAATACTTAACAGGATACATTATTTTATCACACATCTAGTTTTGGTGAAACATTTTTTTTTTCAAAACTGTGAGAAGCTCTCAAGAACGCAGCGCTTCAAGTAAAATCTGACAATATTGCCCCATTTATGATTTATTAAAATCTCAAACACAACCTCTTCAATATTTTGTATATATTTTAATAACTGTAGCAATCACATTTGTAACATCCAGAACCAGTTTTGCAAGTTCATAATCATATGAGATTCCTCACAATCCTATAGGATTGTTAATGGCTCCTTGTCAGTTTACCAGGAGGACTTATTTATATTGAGAGAACACATGTGTAACTTTACAAACGTTTTATCAACGCAAGATTAATTATTGAGAAGCATGTAAACAGATTAAAAAAGAAATTGACATGAGAAGTTTAAGCCAAAATATTGAATAACTTCTGTGCTACAGATATCATTAATCTGTTTACATGAGAGCCTAATTTCTGTGTTCACTGAATACAGATCTTGATGTTACATGCTAAACAAAGTTCTTAACAGTACTATAATTTTAGCTTAGACGGAGACGGTTACCTTGTAAACAGACCAGGCCTGGCTCCAGCTCTAAGATGTATCTGTATGACACAATGTCGCTGCTGTGGTGTGATGGTTGTCTGCTGGGTGATTTAAGGCTTACGGGTCTACTTTGGTCCAAAATGAAAGGCAACAAACTACTAAAGATCACCAGGCAACGAGAGACCCTTCCAATGACTCCAGCACTGCCATAGTAACTTGTCACTAATAGGTTCCAGAATGTAGAAAAGTTAAGAGATAGAAATGTGGATGGAGACATATCAGATATCGTTTTTGGAAGGACTCTTGTGGTCATTACAACAACAGATTATTCTGAATGAAAAGTTTAATAAATTGCTCAAAGTTATAGTAAAATTTTTATTTGAAAATTTTTTTGTAGGTCTATGTGATTCTGAGTTCACTGTCAGCTTGTAGATATTTTTAGCAGTTTCATTAAGCAAGGAGTCAATGACAGTCAATGAAAGTTTTAAAATGAAATTAATACTTTTATTCAGCAAGAATCCATTGTGTAATAAAAGTGACGGTAAATATCTTTGCATTACAAAAAAGATATATATCTTATAAATATGGAGTAAGGACTTATGAAAATTCAGTTTTGTCATCACAGGAATAAATTATAATTTAAAATATTAACATACAAAACAGTTATTTCAAATTGTAATAATCTTTCACAGTATTGCCATTTTTACTGTATTTTTTATCAAATAATGCAGCATAAAAAATCACTGTCCCCAAACTTCTAAACAGTAGTGTATGTATTTTTTAATTCTTTACCGTCATTAAATGCCATGTCATTTGGCTGTAGTTAATTTAATCACATTGTTTTTTTGTTTTTTTGAGTGAGTGACTGAGCTGAGTTTTTGCTCGAGGTGAGTGTTAAATGTGAGAGTGAGGTATTGTCCTGCACTGGCAATAACAAATGTGCCTCCTCATTTTCACTCTGGCTCTCTTTCCTCCTGTGCATTATTCATTAGGGTCGTGAGAGCCTCAGTGGACACAGCGGCCATTCTGCTGACTGAACACATAACTATGAAAGTAAATAAGCTCAACTTTCTGTGTATGCTTCATGAATGTGAGAAAGCCCATGAAACACTTCATTAAAATGTCAGGGGAAGTTTCATGCTTAACATTGAATCTTTTCAACATGGACGCATAATACAAAAGCTTGGCTCATGGCCATTTTGCACTTTGTTTTAAAAAGAGCTGAAGACACTCATGTCCAGTAATTTTGTCAATGTAAAATGAATTGCACTCATAATAGAGTGAGATGTGGGAGCAGTCATTCTAGCTGACCTTGTCATATAATATTTCATCCTTACATCCACTGTCAGTCCCGGGGTTTTGTAACTGTTTTGTAAGCAGCCATTACTCCAGTCTTCAGTGTCACATGAGCCTTCAGAAATCATTCTGATATGCTGATTTTGTGATTTTATTATGTATGCTAAAAACAGTTGCTCAACATTTTTTCGGAAACCGTGATACATTTATTTTAGCATTCTTTTATGAGTAAAAAGCTTTTTGTACTTTATAAGTGTGTTTAAGGTCACTCTTGGTGAATTTGATGCATTCTTGCTGAATAAAAGTATTAATGTCTTTGACCCCAAATGTTTGAATGGTAGTAAATATTGTGAGCTGAGGACAGATTTGTTTTAATGTTGTTTTATGATTTCACTGGAATGATCGTAAGAAAGGCTTAACAGAAAAGCAATAGATAACTTCCTCTGTGTTAGATATATTGGTCTTGGCAAAACATCCTATCATAAATGACACCAGTGTCCTGTTTACACTTTGTGTTACACTTGTGTTACTGGCATAAACTGCAGCTAATAAGTTCTCAGTTGAAGCCAAGTGTCCTGTAGTTACTCAGACTGTCATTTTGACCTGCACTGTATTCCAAACAGTCTCAGTGCCGTCACATGTCCACAGCAGGGTCCGTTTTTGAATGGCTCTGTGCTGAGAAGAGTAAACATTATCTTAGTAAACTCACATTCTCCGTTAGAGTGTGCTCTTAACAGTGTTCCTTTCAACAGCAGCAGAACTCATCTGAATCATGTGAACATAGTCTTGAATTCAGAAACTATTCTAATGTACTTATTGATTTGTGCTCAAGAAACATCTATTTTTATTATCAATGTTTAAAAATTGCTTAATATTTTATTATATTTATTTGACAAACAGAAAATTCAAAGCAATATTTAGTTGAAATGTAATTTTTTGTTGCTTCACTGTCACTTTTGATCAATTATAAAAATAAAAATAAAGTGTTAATTTATTTTTAAAAAAGAAAAAGAAAGAACACAATATATGAGGCATCCATGACAGGGATGGACACCAAAGAGTGGATATACATGTTCCAAAAATCTGCGAACACATTGGAATTGTTTTTTCATGTAAACATGGGAATACAGTAAAAAAAACTTTTTATAAAAGTTAAATAAATGATTTAGAATTTTGACAAATCAAAAAATTATGACATAAAATGGTTAAGACATATTTAAGATTCTGCATTTTTATAATAACTCATTTTTTAAATTCAAAATTTTAAAACAAAATTATGTTGAAAATTACAATTAGAAAAAGTGCAGATTAGAAGCTTTTATTACATGTGTTCTTGGACTCTATGTGTAAAAATGCTACATATATATTGAATTCACAGTATTTTTTCAACTGAAACTATTTTAAATATCCAAACTTTCTCAAATCAACAACATAATTATCATATTTTACACATGATAATGGCTATCAGAAGTGTTTACAGGCATCTGAATGCATCTTTTTTTTCTTTTAATAGATATCTTCTGGAGCAGGACTTCCCTGGTATGCGGATCGGTCCAGAACCCACAACTGACTCCTTCATAGCAGTGATGCATGGCACCATGGAGGGACTAATACCAGGAAACGCGCTGGTAGTGGATCCCAAAAAACCCTTTCGGAAACTCAACGCCTTTGGGAATGCCTTCCTTAACAGGTGGGATTAAAACAATTATTTTAATTCTCCTGTTTATTGAAATTTACATATTTCAGCTAAACGTTGGAGCAAAACATTAGAGCTTTAGTCTGGGTAGAGCTTTGCATATGTAACATGGTCTTCCTGTCTTATGATGATGTCACAGAGGGGGGCTGGTTCTAGGCAACATTCCTTCTCTTGATTGAGTTTCCTCATGCTGTCTGATCCACTGACCTCCCGTCACGTGATTGAGCAACAGACAGATAAGAGGACATGATACCATCAAGCTCACCAGCATATTATTAAATGGGCTGAAAATTATACAACTATAAAAGTGTGTATGGTAGAGTGACAGTCCTTTATAAAACCTCCAAGTGATGCAATCGTGTGCATGTGATTATTTTTGCAGGTGGTCTTTGCTGTACTTCGTAGTCTGATGGTTTGGCAGGCTGCGCTGCTTGTTGTGCAAATCAACAGAAACTCTTGAGAAAATTGTCTCTTCGCCTTTTGCAATCTCAAAGCCTGCATATTTTTGAATACTTTTCATGTAATTCTGTCAGAAAGAGCAGCAACATGCACTTTAAAGGAAAAGTTCACCCAGAAATGGAAGTACTGTCATGATTTACTGTTCCAAACCTAACTTTCTTCAGAATTTCAGAAAAGAGAATGTCCATATGAATGTAAATGGGGACCAAATAGTGAATTTTAATTTTTGGGTGAACTATCCCTTGAACATCTGAGTTATGCTAAGAAATGCACTTTTTTTCCCACATTTTGGTGCACGGAAATAGTAAACATGCTCATGAGATATTACTTGTCATGCACCCTGTTTGGCTGTGGGTTTATGTCATTTGAAATGCCTGAGACAACTGCTCTGGTTTTCAGGTTTATTTTTAGAGATGTATATCATTTATGAATTCACAAATAGCAGCAGCTCAGTGCGCATGGTGTAAACTAGTACATGGAATTACACATCAAATTGTTTTACAGTGCAAGCAAAATGGCTACAAATATGGTTATTTTGTAAGTAGATTAATGTTTGGTTGTGGGTAGTTTACAATAGTAATTCAAACTCTTCTGCTTAACTTTCATATTTGACCTAAACCGCTACATATATTGTACTAGCGTGTTGTCTGGTGCCAGATGTTCAGTAAATGTACATGCTGTGTTCTTAGACTAAAGTTGTTTGTGTCCAACAAACACTGTTATAGTAGGGACTGTCAAAATGAGAATAAATAATGTTTGGAAAATGTTAGGATAGGTTTCCCTAGCCTGAGGTCCTTAGCGATTCACTCCAAAACATGACATACTTTTTCTGGGCCTAGTTCACACACTAAGCCACAAAAGCCATGCATACTAGTTTTTGGCTTGCTATTAAAGAATTTCAGAGCAGACTTTTTTTTCTCAGGCTGTAAAAATGTGACGTCAGTTTTTGGTTTTTGTGTTTTACTATGTCCAACTTGGTCAAACTACAGCCGTAGATGGAAACAAATGAATGATTTATGGCATTCTTCTCCATGTCTTCATGCCAAGTTACTACAACTTCACAGTTTTGGATATTTAGGACTTTTTTCAGTGTGAAATCAGAGCTTGTTTTACTCTGTGTGTATATATATATATATATATATATATATATGGTACATGTATATTTTTTACTTCAAACAAAGAGCAAAGAGAACAATTTCAAATCAAGAGTGAAGCCTAAAACTGTGGAAGCTGGTGGTTAGTGTGCTCATGTGCTTGTAAGACGTCTGCAGTGTCCTTGAGTGTGACTCTGGTTTGTTTGGGTTGGCCCTCAGGTTTGTGTGTGCCCAGCTGCCCAACCCTGTTCTGGAGAGCATCAGTGTGATTGACACTCCAGGAATCCTGAGCGGAGAGAAACAAAGGATCAGCAGAGGTAACTGACTGCCAAAATGCATCAACATGCACATGCACAGAAGAAAAATATCATCTGAATCGGGAGCTATTGATATAAAAACTACCTTTCAAAAATTTAGAGCCGGTAAGATTTTGTCTCTTATTGCCAAAATGCATCAACATGCACATGCACAGAAGAAAAATATCATCTGAATCGGGAGCTATTGATATAAGAACTACCTTTCAAAAATTTAGAGCCGGTAAGATTTTGTCTCTTATTGTTGTCAAGGCTGTTTTGGTCAGAAAAACAGTAATATAGTGATAGATTATTACAATTTAAAATAACTGTTTTTGAATACATTTTAAAATGTAATTTATTTCTGTGATGGCAAAGCTGAATTTTCAGCATCATTACTCCAGTCTTCAGTATCACATGATCCTTCATTCTGATGTCATTCTGATATGCTGATTTGCTGCTCAATAAACATTTACTGTTTTTCTTAATGTTAAAAACAGTTGTTTAATATTTTTGTAGAAACCTTAATTAAAGGGGTCATATGATGCTTTTTTAAAGATCATTATTTGGTGTATTTGATGTAACAGAATATGTTGACATGCTTTAATGTTCAAAAAACACATTATTTTTAAAATACTGTACATTATTGTAGGTCCTCTATGCCCCGCCTCTCTCAAACGCTTCGTTTTCTACAAAGCCCCCTCCTTTGACAAGCGCAGTCTGCTCTGATTGGCCAGCTGACCCAGTGAAAGGAAAACTTGAAATCGCATCATATGACCCCTTTAAGACTTTCCAAACCTTTATTTTAATATACTTTTTTTTTCTTCCTGTTTTGGTTTTGCATTTAATTTGTAATATTTTGCGGGAAGTAATCAAACATTAAAGGTTGGAGGTTTAAAGTTATTCATTTCACACTTTAGTATAACTTGGTTTAATGGTCTGGTATTGTTGTGTTTGGTTATGCCAGTCCTAGAATGTTTTCAAAGTACAACTGCATAACAAGATTATGTGATCTCAGATTTCAAATTTGAATACTAGTTCTTGTTCCCTGTGGCATCAACTGAAAAAGATTTTCTTTAGGAAACTCAGAGTTCACTTGATCGCTATATTGGGGGGGGAAAGCGATTATAATTTTTTTAAGTTGCAGTTTCAATCTGTGTTGTGTTAAAATTCTGTGTTGAATATGATGAGAGACGAGGCTTTATCAAGATGAAGGATGTTGTTTTGGCTTGTAAACTGTAAGGACAGATACAAGACCTCATGCAGGCCTTATAATGTGAAAATGGTACATAAAATATAAGAGTTTGAGTTTGCGCTACATTTTATCTATAGTAATACATTTTTCAACTGTATTGTATCAAAGGATGGTGGATGTGGATGTGTTACTATACAATGTCACTTCTAGTTGAATTACTGAACCAATGCCCTCGTAACAGTAAGCTTGTTTAGCATATGGTTACTTCATTGCTCATTCAGAGAAGTCCATTGCAGCTGAGCGGCCCATAGTATTACTGCTGGGCTTCCTGGCATCAGCCGGTCACTCTCCTCCCACTGCACTCAGCCTCACAGACTGAACTGATATGGCCCGAGGATTATAGACACTCATGTTTCTGAGGCCAGAGCCAAGAGCCGGGCTCTCCAAGATCATTTCAGAGGGCGAATATTTAGTAGCTCTCGTTTGAGCTGAAAGCAGTAAATGTAGGTTTAAAGGTAAGTGCTTAAATTTGGCAGTGAAATTAGTCGTCATGTGATACAGGAGCCTCTGTTGAAAATGAAGTGGAAGTGCGTCAAATAGATGCACACTGGAGCACAAAATAAATGCACACAATATTGTTATATTATGTGAAATGGTATGCATCATGCAGTGGTAATCTTTTCAAACCCTAGAACACTACAGCATCCAGTGACCAAGTGACATTGGTGTGTGTTCTAGTCTATGGCTGCTTAGCTCTGGCTTTAAAGAGCTATTGATCGCAGTGAACATGATGTTTGTGAGCTTTTAAAGTTGCTATTGAATTGTGGATTAAGTCATTTGGGGTGTTCTCACACATGAGTGCATGTAAGAAGAGCAAGCAGTTTCGTGACAACTATTGTATCTTCACACTAAACTGCATTCTGCTTCTCATAGCAGTAATCTTGTAGCGTTTAGTGATCTTTCTTCTTGTTTGAACACTGGATCTAAGTATGTGCTGCTGCAACAGTTATTTTTTTTACTTTGTCTCACCGTCTGTCTCTCTTTTAGGGTTTGGAATCAAGAACTGGTTCATTTTATTTAAAAAAAAATATACTTGAACGGAATGATATTCATGAGATTTGGTTCTGTACCAGCTGACGAGAGTTCCTGAATTTACAAAAGAAATTGTTTTAGCTGAGTTGTGAATTGAGTGTGAAAGTTTCTATTGCTAAATCTCGTTCTAGTTTTCATTGCATTTTCATTTTATGCTGAAAAAATCAAAGTCAGAACCAGGTTGGTTAAATTCCCATCCCTGCTGTCTTTGTTTCTCCTCCCATTTTCCTCTCCAAAAGTCTCATTTACATGTCGGTGTGATGGTTTGATTATGATTATGTCAAGCAGGTCTGTGGAATTTCTCCAGCAGTCACATGAGATTATAGAGAGGAACCTTCTCGTTCATATTCATAGCAACAGGCATCTTTTATCCAGTTTCAGCTTTTTCCTGTATGCTGGTGCATATGAACTGAATCAAATCATTAAGATAAGATTTCTCTTGTTCCTGCATTGCTCTGTGAATTCTGTTTCTAAGGATCATTTGGTCAGGTGTTTTCAGCCAGGTGCATGTGTTTATGTTTATACTTACTGTGTGTGTCTGTAATTAGATGCTGTTGTTGTCTTTCTCTCAGACGGCACACCCACAGACCATTCATGATCACTGTTTGATACATATTGCACACAGAAACACCAAGAACTGGCTGAAACTGTCCTGTCTGATTGGCTTGCTTGTGCACAATTCTGTAGTTGGCCAGTTTGTTCATATCATCTTTTAGTTTTTATGAAGTGCATTACAAAAGACATACAAGAGTCCGAGACCAGATTTAAATTCTGGGATTCAAAATGAAATTTAAAACCTGAAAATAAAGTTTTAGATTTTTTTAAATGTTTAAAATATATTCTTATATTCTTATATAAAATAATATTATAATAAGATTTAACACTAATTAGGGATATAATATTGAACATTTTCGGTTTGACATACTAAATATTGTTAGACTAGCAAAATAATTTGTAATAGAATAATGTATTAACATAGCAAATGTACAAAATGAGCATTTTCATTTTCCTTTTTCATTTAGTATTTAGTCAACCATTGTACATGTACAAAAACATTTACATACACATACATAATATTTTTAAGGAAAACGTGAACATTTAAAAAAAATCATATTTTAAATGTTACTGAACCCAATCCTTTCAACAGTAGTGTAAGGACTTCACGTGTTCGTCAGATAGATTCTTCCTGTCAGACAGACGGAGAGGATGGTTCCGGACTAAATTAAGTTGCAGTATCAGACTGAATAGTGAATTTTATATAGAATCATAATTTGGCTTGGATACCTACAGTATCACTGCATATCCTGATGGATCTGAAGCTGTAGTGTATAGATCATCACCAACACTGAGAGACAGTTCCCCACCCAGATCACTCCATTAAATAACATCTATACAGTTCTGATACCCATCAGCACTTTTTCATGCATCCATTACAAGAACAGCATCTCACAGAAAGCAAATGCTACTGCTTTGTCTGACAAACATCAACACAGCATCTTTCTTTCTCTCTCTCTCGGTCTCTCTATAATATGGGCCCATATGATCCCAGTTACACCTCTGCAAAGAGAGCCATTAGTAGAGAATGGCCATTAGCTTGATCATTTAATTTTTCATTGCTGTAATACTGCAGGACCCATTATACCAGTGCTGCATGTTTCTGAGCGTGCAACTGTAAAGCTCCATTGACCACGTGCCAGTGCTGCTCCCAAGAGCTGCTTTATCATTCCCAGTTCTCCTCTACCTCCACCACAGGCAGGTGCTGTGAAATAGACCTCATTTCCTCCAGGAAATACTGTCTGCCAAATCCAATCACTGGAGTGGTTCTGTTGTATTATATGTTCGGCTGACTGTGTAACAGATGATCGTGGCTCTGGTGTAGGTTTGTAGATAAGCAGTGATCACTTAAATCGCTCTGTTTGTGGTTAAGGTTCATTTAAATGCATTACTGTTTTGTTGTAGTAGCATGCTATTAAATAATGCCTCGGCTCTGAGCAGGGTTCCCACGCTTCTTGAAAGTACTTGAAAGTACTTGAATTTCAGACATATGGATTCAAGGCCTGGAAAGTAGTTGAAAACAAACATAGGTCCTTGAAAGTGCTTGAATTAAATTTGAAAAAAAAATTTACTTGTTTATTTTTTAGTTCAAATAAGGCCATGTTCAAATGTACATGTGTATTTTTATAAACGGAGTTTTCCCTTCTTCCGTTTTAAAAAAAATCTCCGTCCACATGAAAACGCAAACGAGTGGTCCACTTTCATGACACTACATATGCTGGGGTGTGAATTTGATAGGTGCTTGATATAAAATAAATGGTGCTTGAAAAAGTCCTTGAATCTGGTGTTCATGAAAGAGTGGGAACCCTGTCTGAGCCACATAGAGCTCAAAACCACACTCCTGCTACTGTTTGTGTTTAATTGGAAAAAGGTTAGGCTCAGTTTGCAACAATATGTAGAAACACCTTGTAGCTATATTATATTGGAATTAACTTAAATGTAACTGTATAACTTTTGACAAGCATTTTCAAAGCCTGTTGACTTTTGCATTATTCGGCATTAAACTTGGTGTCATTTAGTCACATCACAATTGGTGTAAACACTAAACAGACATTTTAAGATCTGAAAATTAGTATTCATTTACTGTGTGCAAAGCACAACATGCCAAGTGTTGTCTGATTCATAAACAAATGATTCTCATGAGCTGGTTCTTTTCAGTGAATCAATAACATCTAACACAACCTGTGTAGTACGATTCATAAACAAATAATTCTCATGAGCTGGTTATTTTCAGTGAATTGATAACATCCAGCACAACCAGTGTAGTCTGATTATCAAACAAATGACTCTAATGAGCTGGTTATTTTCAGTGAATCATCCAGCACAACTAGTCTAATAATTGTCACTATTTTGTGAATCAGAAACAGCACAACCAGTGTAGTCTGATAGTTACCAGTTGTCAGTTTATGATTATGGTTTTGATCTTGCACGTTCTTTAAATAACATCCTTTTTAGCATCTTCATCAGTTCAGGATGTTGCAGAGTGCAAACGCAGCACAGCGTCAACCAAAACCATTTCCTTTTTTCATGTTCTTTTATTCATATCTTTCGTTTTGTTTTTTCATCAGCTCATACCAGACTTTTCTTTCTAGTGCCATGAACTACCTAAACTTTCACTGAAACTGAAACATTTCTAATTAAAAGTCTATCCTTTTTTTCCTGTGGTACTGTAATTTGACATCTTTGTATCTTTCTCTCTCCATGAACAGTTGCTACAGAAGATGGCTTTGGTTATAGCTGCCTGCGTAAATGTCCATATGGAGGTATTGTAGATACTGACAAACTACTGTTAACACCTGCAGCTTATTACGCCAATGAAGTTCCAGCACCGCTCGACTCCAGACGTGCTGTGAAATCACAGGGCCTCTTGATATTAACCCTCAGATCTGTCCCTCTGCAACAATATAATCACAGCTGTAATACCAAGCCCAGTTTCACCGCTGTTATTGTCCTGCTCTCAATGACACTGTCTCATGTGTCTGTTACTGTAGATGTTGTCTTTCTTAGACCTTTCAGTTGACTAGTCCCAGTCTAAAGTTACAACAATTCTGGATAGAGATCTATAAGTTGTTGAAAAGACAAACCACACTGTTGCAGGTGACAATATAGCATCCCCATGTGAAACTGCCAAATCGGAAGGGATGGTCCACCCCATTCCTGTAGGCATGGGATCTTCCTGTGGAAGAAATGGCTATATCTGCCATATTCCATGTCACTGATTTGAAATATTAACACATTAATTCCTCCCAACAGAACTGCCAGCTTTGGAAATATACTCCTTTTCAGTCAAGGTCATCGCAAAAATGCTTACACACTGATGGCGTAACTGATGATAAGCTGGAAGTTGTTACAGAAGATATACGTCAGAGAAAAAAAATTACAGCTTGACTCAACAGCAGAGCCTGGTCAGAATCATCATCACCTTTCCTCATTTCAGATGTCTTTCAACTTAATGTTCCAGGGTGGAAAATTACAACATATTACATTTTTTCCAACAGGTGTGTCCAAACTTGTTTTATAATTTTAGTTTTAGGAAACGCTAACAACACTGAGCAGAGCAAATGTAGGCATGTAGCCTAGGTGGACTGAGGGGACAAAAATAGATGTATTTTTTTTACTTTTTTTTAAGTACTGATAATTTATCTTTTTCAAGGTTTTTCTTCTGTCAGTGTGAACTTTTTTTTCTCTAGCAAGGTTATGATTTTCTTGTCATGAGCACACAGTGTCCTAACCGGTTGCTATGAGATTTGTCTGTCCCCACTAAAAGCAAAAATTCTGCAAAATAACAATCTCCTGTTGAGGCTGGTTCGGACACAGTGGCGTGGCTTTTGAATCATTTTAGCAGTATTGCATTGTCATAACCTTTTTCCTTCCTTGGTTGCATAGCAGCAATGCAAATGGATGTGGAGATCTCATATCATACATTACAAAACTAATTAGCCCACAGCATTAGGTTTCATTTGGAGGATTCTGGCTTTCTTGGCTGAGTCAGCGTCTACCCCTTTCCAAATCTCAGCAGCTAGGAAGTTGAATGTGCAGTCACCCAGATAATGCAAAAGCTAGTTTTACGCTCCTTCACAAGAGTCTGCGGCTCCTTAAAATAAGAGCCAGACTCAAAAACAGCCATTCTGAATCATGCAGACATTGCATGCATACAAATTTCAATACTTTAACCATTTGCATCTAAATGCATTATTTAGTTAAAATATTTCCATTATATTCTATGTAATGCAGCCTGGGTTTAAAATGAATCATCATCTTGCTTTCCTCTTGAATGGTGGACTTGCTGTTTGACTCTGCATCCCTGGAGAGGGAGTGAAGTTGAGCTGCAGAAGCCATTAACTGGCAGACATTAGATCATAAAAACCGCAACAGGCCTGAGCATTTTAACGATACTTGGAAGAGAGTCAGCAGCTTCAGTACTGTTGAGCGCCAGGTCTAACAAGGTCATTTTGCCCGTTCTGATTGGCTGGCTGCCTCTTCGCTCTCGTGCGAGCATCCATCCGGTGCGAAAGCTTTGTGAACCGTAAATATTGGACAGGATATCAATCTCTTTTCCAATCTCTCCTTCAGGCTATGACTTCGCTGCGGTGTTGGAGTGGTTCGCCGAACGCGTGGACCGCATCATCCTGCTGTTCGACGCCCACAAGCTGGACATCTCGGACGAGTTCTCAGAAGTCATCAAGGCCCTCAAGAACCATGAGGACAAGATCCGCGTGGTGCTCAACAAGGCCGACCAGATCGAGACGCAACAGTTAATGCGCGTCTACGGTGCCCTCATGTGGTCGCTGGGGAAGATCGTCAACACACCTGAGGTGATTCGTGTCTACATCGGCTCTTTTTGGTCGCATCCGTTGCTGATTCCAGACAATCGCAAGCTGTTTGAGGCAGAAGAGCAAGACCTGTTCAAGGATATCCAGTCGCTGCCACGTAACGCCGCCCTTCGCAAGCTCAACGATCTGATCAAGAGAGCTCGTCTTGCTAAGGTAAACTTCTATTACATTAACCTATGAGATTTGACATGTAGCCTAACAAACAAATGACCCACCTAGACTATTACTAAGGTTATATACAGTATAAGTTAAGATTCTGGATCTGGAAGTATGAGAGTCTGACATAAACAAATAATTTTAATAAGCATTATAATATTGGACCATGAGTGTTTTTTTAAATTTTGGAAATCCTCAGAACACAAAATAATAGATTTGAAGAATCTCTTTATGCAGCTCTTTTTCAAACAAGAGTTCATAGTTACCATGGCTATGAAAATAAAAACTACATATTCCTCTTGTATATGGAAAAGAATTTGTTCCACAGGGAAAAAATAACAGCATTTGGAATGTCAGACAATAATGACAGAATGTTCATTTTTGGGTGAACTAATCCTTTAAGTTCTAAAGTCTTGGAAAGTTCTGAACCAAAACCACTACTGAAACCAAAAGCAAGAAACGGCCAACAAACTGCTGAAAATTTGGCTAGCAAATTTTGTTCAAAGCAAAACAAGCACTTAAGGATTTATATGTTGGTGTTCAAGGGAAAATATTTAGTGTGTGTGATTCAGAATAAAAGGTCTTTGTTTCTGCATTTATTGAGTTGACATGCTGTGAATGTTGTTGTCGTTCCAACATGTTTTTGATGTGGTCCAGCATATAGCTCTAGTGTAAAAGTAATAGCAGTGACATGCACTTTGTGTGTTTACAGGCCCTTTTGTCTGTCTGATCTTGCAGATTTGCCCAAGTAATGAGGCCATTTACCAAACTGTATAGTCTGCTGATGTGGCTCTGTACATGGCTCTGATGTTCAGCTACATTAAAATTGACTCGGAGTCATTGCTTTTTTTTCTCTCCTCCGCATTAAGCACATTATATTTGCTTCTACAGTAATTTTTGAATCCAAGCTTGATTCATTTATATTTAAGGGCTGTTTTAGTAATGACCATAAGAACATGAAGTAGTCATTTATCTGTCTGTCTCTGTTTCTGTATATTGTTACATCCTACGAGTGTCTAGGGGTCTGTTTTACCAGAACGTAACATATTAAGCATTTAAAGAGCATTTGTCTGGGCCCTGCCACAGCACCACAACCACAAGATCTCTTTTTAACAGATTTATTTAAGGCTAGCTAAGCATAGCCTGGTTTCTTTGGAACAAAAAGTACAACTTAGGAGGGAAACAAAGGCTTATATATATGATATATATATATATATATATATATGTATGTATGTATGTATGTATATATATATATAAAAGAATACATATATGTAACATGCAATTCAAAGATGATACTGGTTGTGCAGGTAATCAGCTACAGTACATCTGAAAAACTAGACCAGAAAATGCAAAGAAAGTCCTTGACTTTGACGTTTCTTTGGAACAAAAAGTGCAACTTAGGAGGGAAACAAAGGCTTATATATATGATATATATATATATATATATATATATGTATGTATGTATGTATGTATGTATATATATAAAAGAATACATATATGTAACATGCAATTCAAAGATGATACTGGTTGTGCAGGTAATCAGCTACAGTACATCTGAAAAACTAGACCAGAAAATGCAAAGAAAGTCCTTGACTTTGACTCAGAGGTCAGGTGATTAGTGGGGATTGTTAAATGTGCTGAAAGATACTGAGGGATCATGACTCATAATGTCATTCCCCATAAAGACATGGTTATAAATGCCCTTGTGTGATCTTGCAGTCTTCCTTGCTTTAATTACTTATAAAATCACGTCTAAAGGAAGTTGACTCAAAAATTTTGTTCTCATGTTCCAAACCTGTGACTTTTTCTCTTCAAAGGAACACAAAAGAACGATTTAAGGCCTTGTATTCGCAAAACACATTCTTGTCTTTTATGCAATAATCCTTTAGCACATTACATTCGGAAATACTAAAGTGTTTATGTATTAAATTGAGCCCTAATACTTTCATGTCTTATGTCTGCTGCTGTCCTATGACTAGATTCCACATGTTTTTAAACAGCAGTCCACCTCTTAGATGTATAAAAGAACAGTAACTTAGGTAGTCAGACATAAAGCTGTCATTTAAAAGGAAACTGAAACACTCTAATGTCGGTTCATTTACGACTGAAATCCTTTATTATCCCCATCAGTATAAACGTTGGTCAAAACACATGGGCTGGGCCATAGAGACCCTCTCTGGAAGAGGAAATGTTGGGGACTGTCAGTACTGTTCTCTTGTCAAACTCAATTTAAATCTCTAGATCCAGCTGGATGCATTAAAAAAGAACATTCAAGTTCTCTCCCTGTCCCTCACCCTGATCATACAGATGTGCTTCCCCTCCTGTCATCATTTATACAGTCACCTTCCTTCCACGCAGGGGCCAGGCCTCTTGCTGCCGCAGACGACGACTTATTTATTAGCTTGTGTATTCTTGCTACTATCCAGCTTCATAATTAATTGTTTGGGTTGAATGCATTTGTAAAAAGCTGCATCTTTTTATATTCAATGTCTCAATTTGTTTGTTGGCTATAAAATCAGTATAGAGTCTAATGCAAAAACATGTTTGTGTCATATTACATCCCAAAAAGAAAAATTAAGCCCGTTTTAGAATCACATTCACATGCAAACTGTGCAAAAATTACAATTAACAAATCAAAATAATGTATTCCAGAGAAAAAGTATTTTGTAAAAATTTTGCAACAATGTTAATTATAATGAAAATGCCACAATAAAATTTATTTATTTATGAAATAAGGAATTTTATTATAGGTTTTTGTTTTGAGCAAAAGGTTTCAGTCGTTTTTATTTTATTTTTATTTTTTTTAGTGTTAAAAACAACCCAGGCATGCTCTTTGTAATTGTGATATACTGATGTCTGTTCTATAAACTTACAAGGAGCTTTGCTTTTGTGCTCTCACAGGTCCATGCATACATCATTAGCTCCTTGAAAAAAGAAATGCCCTCGGTCTTTGGGAAGGACAACAAAAAGAAGGAGCTTGTTAACAGCTTGGCCGAGATCTACAGCCGCATTGAGAGGGAACATCAGATTTCCCCGGGAGACTTCCCTAATCTTAAGAAAATGCAGGTAAGGTCAATTTAACCAACAAACATAGAGGCTGATTCAAGAATGCTTCACTGGGGCTTCTAAAGGGTCTTTCAGTGCGCATTCAAAATCAGCATAATTTGTCCCACATTTTTTAAAGTCAACAAACAGCTATATACATGTCAGCTTTGGGTGGACCTCCAAACTTATGTGCCTTTTTTTTTTTTTTTAGAGCAATTTGCGTTTCAGACTAAATTTGGCTATTTAGTTTATATGTTTCTTCTCTGCCTATGAAACTATTTCCAAAAGAAGCCAAAGCATCAACTTTTTCACTTTGCCAAGCATCAACAGCCTGACACAGCCTGTCTGCAATAGAGTATCTAAAGGGAGCGGAGCTGGTTTACCCTGGAAATATCAACAGATGTTGACAGGATCTTTTGTTACATCCTATAAGTGATTTTCTTGCTTTCTTTCGCGCTGAATAGGAGCAGCTTCAAGCACACGATCTGAACAAGTTCCAGCCTCTGAAAATGAAGCTGTTGGACACCGTGGACGACATGCTGGGCCATGACATCGCCCAGCTTATGGTTCTGGTGCGTCAGGAGGAGACGCAGTGCCCCAACCAGGTGGTGAAGGGTGGCGCCTTCGAGGGCACCATGAATGGGCCGTTCGGACACGGATATGGCGAGGGAGCCGGCGAGGGCATTGATGAAGTCGAATGGGTGGTGGCACGTGACAAACCTATGTATGATGAAATCTTCTACACTCTCTCACCCGTCAATGGAAAAGTGACTGGAGCCAATGCCAAGAAGGAGATGGTGAAGTCCAAGCTGCCAAACACTGTGCTGGGTAAGATCTGGAAGCTGGCTGACATTGATAAAGATGGGATGCTCGATGATGAGGAGTTTGCCTTGGCCAATCACCTGATCAAGGTCAAACTAGAAGGTCACGAGCTTCCAAGCGAACTGCCCGCTCATCTTGTGCCGCCCTCTAAAAGAAAGGTTCCAGAGTAAGATTGGTTTGGAATTGGGATGGATTTTGGGAAAGCATATAGTTTGAATTACCGATGGCCGGACAACTTTTACTATACTGTAGAAAAAAAGAAAACTGTTTTTGAAATGTGTGGTTTATGCTTCACTAGCAAGAATGGATTTGGAACTCTTTTGACTTGTGTATGTATTTTTTTGTTTTGTTTTATTTTTTATGAACAAATTGTGCTGTCTGCAGTCTGTTTTATGTGTGCTTTCAGATTTTACAATCATATTTTTATGCCACAATTTCAATTTCATCTGTTCAGCTATCATGACTGTAATGCTGAGTCCTAACCAGTCATGTTGCGATGAATGATATTAAATGTAAAACAGCACATTTTGTCGATCACAAGATTTCAGTTTCTGTGACAATTTGCTTGCTAGCCTTTCCCACAGTGAAATCTCATTGGTCTAAAAATCTACTTCAGGTAATTACATTAAACATCGTTATCTTCTGATTGGTCAACAATGACATTGTGTCACGTTTCGTAGCTGTTTTGTGTTCAGGCGATTATTTGTCGCATTGCGCCTGGTTAGGACACGCTAAAATGCTTTTCAATATATTTCACTTTCACGCTCAATTTACACTACTGTTCAAAAGTTTAGAATCAATAAGTTGTTTTTGAAAATCTCTTTTGCTTGCAAAAGTACAGTGAAAACAGTAATATTGTGAAATAATATTACAATTTAAAAAAAAACTGTTTTCTATTTTAATCTATTTTGAAATGTGATTTATTCCTGTGATGGAAAATCTGAATACTTCTGTTACCTGCCGTCTTCCGTGTCACATAGTCTTTCAGAAATCATTCTAAAAAATATTAATAATCTCACTGACCCTACATTTTTGAATGGTAGTATATATCAGATTGATCTGTGTCTCAGGAGGGGTGAGATATCAATTAATGCAGAAAAACATGAATCTTAATCTGAATCTTTGTATCAGTTGTTATTCCAAGTACACAACTGTTAAAATGTAGCTAGAAAAGCTAAATTCCTTTTATAAGTAGGTGTAACTGTTATTCTCTTCTTGTTAAGGCTGCATCTTTAATGAATGCGAGTCCTTTCTAGCCTGACCAAGAGACTGTTAAAACTGTATAGCCGTCACGTCAGAAGACTCAATGTTTAGTGTTCTTGATGGACCCGTAGAGCTAGTATCCTTGTCAGTAGTCTACTGTATATGTTAATGCCTAACATATCTAAACTAACTAGGGTTATAGTAGTGTTTATATAATTCCCATCTGATTTTCCAAAGAAGAAAAAAGAATGATGCTGCAAAACAGCTTTATTCAAGTGATGTGAAGTTCTCTTTCTGAGCATTTCTGCATTCACATGCTCATTTAAAGAGCAGCGGTTTTGGATCTAAATATGTATTTAGTTATATTACTTTATTATATCTGCATTTAATGATTTAATGAACTCTTTACCTCTGTATCCACCCCTTGACAAGCAGTTATCTAGAGCTGTCGCATTTTCTCAAGCAGATTTTTAGGATCTGAATGTGAATTGGTAGAATTTTATGCACTGAACTAAATGGTCTTTAAAAAAAAAAGACAATTCTCTCACTATTTACTCGCCCTCGTGTCATTTCAAACCATGTTTTAATTCCATGGTTGATGAAAAAGGAGATCTTTAGCTAAATAGTCACGCTGCTCTTTTATATACAAGATCAAAAATAACAAAAAGTACCATAAAAGTAGTTCGATATAACTTCTATACTATATTCCAAGTCTTCTGAAGCCATGTGATAGCATTATGTAAAGAAAAGGCTGAAATATAAGTGATTATTTGCTGAAAATTGCCATATATGTACACATTGTAATTTGGCTTCTCATGATCAGTTACTGTACAAGACACACTGACGTTTGGCGTCATTGACATTAAAGGGATAGTTCGCCCAAAAATGAAATAATTCCTAACCCTCATGTTGTTCCAGACCTGTAAGTCGTACTTTCTTCTGCAAATCTTATGACAAAAAAATATATTTTGAATAATGTTGGTAACTAAACTCTTTCGGTTCCATTGTATGGACAAAAAAAATTTAATCAATGGGAAGTGAAATGGTTTGGTTATCAACGTTATTCAAAATATATTCTTTTGTGAATATATTTTTGTGTTCAGCAGAAAAAAGAAATGGAACAACATGAGAGTGAGGTGACGTTTTTTGGGTGGACTATCCCTTTAGCGTAAAAAAAAATCATGCTCATTGGATGGACACAACTAAAGTACGACAGGATTTTTACTTTTTGATGTACTGTTCCTTTAAATCTGATCTGCTTTGATCTAAATGTCCATTTGCTTATGTGAAATATCTCCACTGGTTTTAACTAAACCTTTAAGCCTGTTTAGTCAATCAATTAAACCTATAAGCTGCCTCAGTGCCTTGAGACACACCCGCCTCAATCAGATTTGTGACACTAGAGATGTACAAACACACTGTCATATTCTACAATATCATGACATGCTCATGAAATAAACTGACATTCTTACGTACTTTCTTCTGCAAATCTTATGACAAAAAAATATATTTTGAAGAATGTTGGTAACTAAACTCTTTCGGTTCCATTGTATGGACAAAAAAATTTTAATCAATGGGAAGTGAAATGGTTTGGTTATCAACGTTATTCAAAATATATTCTTTTGTGAATATATTTTTGTGTTCAGCAGAAAAAAGAAATGGAACAACATGAGAGTGAGGTGACGTTTTTTGGGTGGACTATCCCTTTAGCGTAAAAAAAAATCATGCTCATTGGATGGACACAACTAAAGTACGACAGGATTTTTACTTTTTGATGTACTGTTCCTTTAAATCTGATCTGCTTTGATCTAAATGTCCATTTGCTTATGTGAAATATCTCCACTGATTTTAACTAAACCTTTAAGCCTGTTTAGTCAATCAATTAAACCTATAAGCTGCCTCAGTGCCTTGAGACACACCCGCCTCAATCAGATTTGTGACACTAGAGATGTACAAACACACTGTCATATTCTACAATATCATGACATGCTCATGAAATAAACTGACATTCTTCGAAGACTTTCATTAATGCTCCATTCGAGTCTATAATGAAAAAAAATTCCAGATTTGCTCATAATTTTTGCACATGAAATTTTTTTTTGCCCATAATGTGGGGTTGTGCATTTGTGCGTTTGACCAAGTATGTACATGTGTATGGGTGCAATATGGTTTGCAAATGTATTGTGAAGTGGTCTGTGTACGTGTGCTTGTTGCTTATTGTGTTTTAACCGGTGTGGACAAACTTTGTGAGACACTACTGTTCAGGGAGGTGGACATTATTCAACTTAATAAAGATCTAACTCATTTAAAAGTGCTTCGTATTTGGGTTTTCTGTTCTAGGCTTGTTACATCTTGACTTAATTTATTCCAGATTAAAATACTAATTCTTTTACTCTTTAATCAAAAAAAATAAAAATACAAATCTTTTTTTTTTTTCTTCTTTTTTTTGGTTTCTTGGTTGGTGATTTTTAAACAAAATCTGTGGTAAAAGTAATCAAAGTTTTGTATTTTTTGTATTATTATTATTATTATTTGCCTGTTTTTAAACTGCAATTATTCATTATGACAATTCACAATGTTAATTCACAAAATAAAATGTCATTATACAATATCCGCAGTAATAATATTCCCTTATTTTTTCCATTCCAAGCCTCTCTGTGTCTATATTGGGGTTTTCTGTTCTAGTCTTGTTACATCTTGACTTAATTTATTCCAGATTAAAATACTTTTTTATTTTTTTGGTTTCTTGGTGATTTTTAAACAAAATCTGTGGTAAAAATAATCAAAGTTTTGTATTTTATTTATTTTTAATTATTATTATTTTGCCTGTTTTTAAACAGTGCCATTTTCATGCAATTATTCATTATGACAGTTCACAATGTTAATTCACAAAATAAAATTTCACTATACAATATCCGCAGTAATAATATTCCCTTATTTTTTCCATTCCAAGCCTCTCTGTGTCTAGAAATGGGAAAAACAGGTCAGATTGATGTACAGAATGAAAAAAAACATTAAACACAGGCAGTCCCAACGGCGACAGTACATAATGTTTTCAGCAGATCTTTGTCCTGCATTAACAGGGCGGTTCTGCATGAGTGATGACTTCCTGTTTGTTGCATCATGTACTGTATGTCCTAGGAAACGCAAGCACGGGGTGGATTCTCATCTGGTCCTTTTCTTGACAGCAGGATATGATAAGCAGGGAACACCTGACTTTTCCTCACTACCGGTCACGGAATATTCTGTCCACTGATGGATCATGCTTACTTCAGGATAAGCTACAGGGGTGTAGAAAAAAAATGTATCATATATTAAAAGTTTGGAATTTTTCTTTATTTTGTAAACTTTTTTTTATTCTTCAAAACGCAATACTGAAAATTACATACACTACAGTTAGAAGTTTTTTAATGTTTTGGAAAAGTCTCTCATGCGTACCAGACTGCATTATTTGATCAAAAATACAATAAAAACAGTAACATTATGTAATATTATTACTATTTAAAATAACTGTTTTCTATTTTAATCTTTAAATGTTTGCAATACGGAAAATTTGAGGACGTTTTAAACCACTGGTTACCTATCAGGTCGGGTGATCTCACCACAAGAGCTGATCAATAACATTTTGCTGGAAGTGATCAGGAAACCTATGAGGCTACAGGATTTATACTGCAGATTCATCAGGCATGTTTGCCAAACAACATCTGAGGAGTATTGGAACAGTGTATTGTAGACAGATGAGACCGAGTTAGAGCTCACTGGCACCAAAGCCTGACATGTTTGGCAAAATACGAGGATTGCCTTTGGCCAGCAGCACCTCGGACCATCTGTAATGCTTGGTGGTGGAAGCGTTATGGTTTGGGGCTGCTGTTGTGCCTCAGGGTCTGGCCAGCCTGAGTCAACCCTGAATTCCACACGGAACCAGAAAGTAGTTGAGGGGAATGTGAAACCATCTGTCTAAAAGCTGAGGCTGAACCACAAGTGGACATAGAAATAACAAGACAATGACTTGAAACACTCAAGAAAAGCCACAAATGAATAGGTCAAAATGAAGAAATGAAGGGTTACAAAGTCAAGGCCTACATCTTTCCACAGCAGAAATTCTTACAAGACTTTTGTTGAAAAATACTTGAAAGATTTTAGCCTTGCTTGTGCTAAACAACTTAAAATGGAAATGTATGTCAAATCAAATCAGCAGGTATTCTTGCGCCACTGATATGCATGCCATGTGGTAAAAAAAAAAAGACTAAATAATCTCTGACTGAAACCTTTTTTATGAGTCACTCAAAATAATTTATAATACAAATAAAAGTATTTCATAAATAAATAAATAACTAAATACATTTTAGGGTTGTTCATCAGTATGTACCCTGACCTTGAGTCCTTCCCATGTTGAACCATGAGAGGAAGAGGAAGATTTTCATGATTCGAAAGCTCCCAAACATCCGGCGCTCTAGATCAATCCCTCAGGAAGAGCAGCGCTCCATCACAGCTGGTTGGGGACTCACATGTGTCCTTGTGTACAGTATGTCTGCCGTATGTGAAAGAGTGAGTGGGATGTGCGAGGTTGTCACATATAGATACGATTTTACAAAGTGAATACCTAACATTCATTAAAAAAGAGA